TCACGTGGAGAGAGATCCATGACCTAGTGGAAACTGCACACCACAGATGTCCCCCTTGAGCTCCCTTTTCTGTCATTCTCATGGCTGTCTTTATCCTGCTCAGCACCAATTCTTCAGACAGCCCCCACTCTCCCTAATACCGTGTTCTAGAGATTTTATTTTTCAGGGAAAGAATCAGATCCATGGGACAATCGGTGGAACATTAAAGTAATAACTCAGGTGTATTTTCTAGGTACCCTACAGCTAACTTTCATGTCTCTCAACAGCTTACATCTGCAGCCAAGTCTGTGCTAATTTACAATGTCATTTTACAGGAAAGACAGAGGACCAAATAAGATCGACTATGTCCTGAAACAAGTCTAACTTTCTTCCCTTTCACCACCTACCCCAATGCCTAACTGTTTCTTTTGTGCATCCAGCAATAGATTTTTGCTGACAACATTACCAGCTACCACCCTTCTCGACCCAGGATCAAAAAAAGACTTCACTGACTTTCATCTAAGTGGATTCAAACACCTGGCTAACTATTACATTTCAAATGTAAAAAGCTTTTTCTCCTATACAGCTACTAGCAGAAAAAAAATCTTCCTCCCCCTGCTGGCAGAGACCGAACTTACACTCTATGCTAGAGGCGTTGCTATGGCGACAGACTACAACAAGCTGTGACATCAGTGACTGACAGCCTGGAGTTTCTCCAGCAGCAAATGAACTTTCTCACCAGAACTGTATGCTTCACAATAAAAAAAATTGGGCTTAATAACTGTTAGACATGAAGACTATATATTGAGAAAAGTACTGTTTCTTTGTAATTGAATCAAATATTGTTAAAACCAATGCTAACACTCTCAAAACTTTATAATCTATTTGGTTTAGCAATCCCTTGGCTCCTATCCCTTGTTGCCCTTTGATAATGCTGTGTATTATGCTTGCTCACTGTTTTTTAAGTTTTCTCTGCTGACAGTTACTGCCATTTGCTAAAAATCACTACAAAAAACAGGTCATGGTCAGTTATCAAACTTTGAATTCTCCCGAGATAAAATGAGTTGACGCTTAGGGCTGGCATGGCACTTCTTCATATTTAAATCAAAGAGGAGAATATCTGTGCGCGCAGGGACCCCGAGTGCCCAGAGAGCGCACCCCCCCATAAGAGAGCTCCCCAGACTGTACTGGAGTTGAACAGAGGCTGACACTGGGGTGATTCCTACAAAGGAGGAACCGTTTGAGGCTTTTCAAATCATTGGATAAAGAAAACAATTTGATGTAACTAAAGTGAACACAATGAAAGAGTTGGAGGAAAACTTGCAAGGATCCCATGAGAATCTAAGCTTTGTAGCTGGAAGAAATTTTGAGAAATATTGTAGTTGCTGTTATAATTCTGTTAGGAGTTGCCTTCAAACAAGTCAAAGTAGCTCTCTTCAATAGTCATGTTTATTTAATCAGAGTCAGCTCTGATTCCTGGGTATCACAGTTTAACTTTGCAAACAGACAGACCACTTCCTAATGGACAGAAAATACAGGGAACTTCCAGTATACTCCTAACTTATTGTCTTAGCTGGCTGTCTGCTCAGAATCACAAGTAACAAAGCTTTCAGGTTTATGTAGAGAAATCATACAAGTTGTAAAATGTTTTAGGTGATAGCTCATGCTGTTGATCTGGCTGATAGTCCTCATCTTCACAAACCTTCCTGCCATCCTGCACTCTGCAGCACTCTAGTGAGACAGATCTGTAGACACAAGGATCCCAAGAGAGCACGTCCCCTGGAGCTGAGGTGGATGGATGAGAGAATGAACAGGGTGCTTTTCCCTGACTGTGACAGGAGGGGTCACCCAGCACAATTCTCTGTGGTCCCTCGTTTTTTCCTTCTTTCTTTCCTTCTTATTATATTTATTTATTCCTTAGTTCCAGGCCCATGAACTATACAGGTCTTCGTGGCCTATTACATTACCATAATCAATTTTTGTTCATTTCCTCAGAGTTGTGAATTCACCTCCACCTTGGCGCATCCGACTCTTCCTTCTTCATTATCCCCCTTTACACCACCGTGTTCAAAGGAGAGATCCTTTGAATGCCCTGCTCATCCTTGTCTCCTGCTCCTCTCCCGTCCCACCCACCTGCCTCTCACTGGTCCCCTTCTCCCAATCATTTCCCTCCTGCTTTTATGTATGTATATTTACATCTAGGGTCCAAAATACAATGTGTTGCCTTTCTCCCCGACTACACTCTCGCATTCCCTACTCCCTTCCTTCCAACCCCATAATCTACTTTTTTAGAAATTTCAGTTGGTTTTTAAACAGCTTCACAGACCAAAGAAAGCTGTGCAAAAGAGTTTCTTGGCAGCTGCAAAGACAAGTTCGATGGAGTACATGTGTGTTTTCAGTTAAAAAGGACAATGTAAACAAATATCTCTAAGATAATTCGGGGGACTCCAGCTCCTTTGCTGTGGGGCAGACCGCATGTCCCTGTGCATCTGCGCCACCCAGCGGGAGTCCTAAAGCATGGCAAGAGTTGAAGAAGCCACTTTGCAGATTCAGAGTGCATTGGATCCCAAAGAAGTGAGGGGCACCCAGCGTCAGGAGGCGACTACACCGAAAGAAAAAAAGCATCACAGTGGAAAACCTTAAATCAGTTCTATAAGAACTAGAATCAAGACCACACAGCCCTGGTAACTTAAATACAAACAAAAATTATAAACATGGGTGTCCAGGCTCAAGAGAAAGCACTGTGCTGGCCACTGGAAGCGAACTGTGGTGCTGTCAAAGTGGGACCTGCCTAGCTGCTCACAGCAGGGCCTCCTTGACCCCCTGCAGCCTCAGGAACTGAGGGAAATTCTCTGTATGACGCCCTCTCCTGTGAGGTTCACCTTTTTCAAGAACAAAGATGGCTTCCATTACAAAAAGTTTTGCTTTTTTGTTTTCTTTTTAATATCTTTAGTTGTTTTTTGCTTATTTGCAAGGGTTAGACTAAGGACTTTGAAAAGTAAAGGAAGGTTTCGGGGAGGGGGAATCTAACCACAAAAAACATTCTCACCTTGGACTTTAGGGTCACTTGAAAACTGTTCTGCAGATAACTAAGGCTGCTCAGTTCTTGGGACATGACTGTGGATTGTGGCTAGGACCAGTGAAAAAGACACTAACCAGATTTTGAAGAGTTTGGAAGGTCAGATATAAAATATATCAATATTCTTCCATGATTATATGTTGACATATTTTTATATGTTGATAAAATATATTATTAAAACTATTTTTAAAAAACTGGGTATTGTGGTACATGCCTAAAATCCTAGCACTTGGGAGGTAGAAGCAAGAAGATCAAGAATTCAATGCCAGCCTGGGCTACACGAGACCTTGTCTCAAAAAAAAAAAAAAAACGCTCTCCCAAAAAAACTAATTGCAAAACGAAGTTGAAAAGAAATAATTTACCCCTAATACAAAAAAAAAAAAAAAAAAAAAAAAAACCTGCCAAAGCTCATTTGTGAATCGGAGTTAACTTTTCCAAATGGGTAACCATAGTTTTAAATAAAATTCCACAAGATAAGAAAACATAATTTATTTATCTAATATGTGTTCACAGATAAAGAAAAAAACATCACTACTATTCCTAAACATGATAGTATATACACATTTCTAGCCCAGGTTCCAAACATGAGCACATTAGAGTATGTCACAAGTCAAAGTTATCAACTAATATTCAAAAAACAAATTCAGAAATTAGGTTCTGTGACTAGAGCCCCAGATTCAGATTTCCATTTCGTGACCTACAAAAATAGTTTAATACAACCAGACTGTTTTTTCACACAATTTTCCATTATTCAATTTGCTCTGCAATATATGTATAAATTATAAGACTATGTCTTAATAATTTTAGAAACACATTACTCAACTTTCTCATTGGATGGTTACATCTCCGAAGAATTGAAATCAGAGTCTTCTGACCTTCCTACTTAAGGCACCCCTCACATCCTTGTTCCTCAGGGTGTAGATGAGTGGGTTGAGAGCAGGAGTGACCGCACTGTACATGATGGTGATGATCCGGTCCTGGTTCAGTGAGCTCCCTGATGTAGGACGGATGTAGGTGAAGAGAACAGGAGCATAGAAAAGAATGACGACCATGAAGTGGGAGGCACAGGTGGACAGTGCTTTGTGGAGCATGCTACAAGAACGGGTCTTGAGGAACAAGTAGGTGATGATGTAGAAATAGGACAGAAATGTCAGAAAGAAGGGGACTGAGGCAATGGTCCCTGTGACAGTATTGAGCAACCATAAGTTGAGCTCAGTGTTCCCACAGGCCAGCTCCAGCAATGGCTTCACATCACAGAAGAAGTGATGAACATAGCTGGGCCCACAGAAGTTCAAATGAGATGTCATTACAGAGTGAAGGAGGGCATGGAAAAAAGCAATGGTCCAGATGGTGACAGCCATCAGGATACAGACCTGAGGATTCATGATGACGGAGTAGTGAAGTGGTTTGCAGATAGCCACAAAGCGATCAAATGCCATCACTGCCAGCAGCAGGGACTCCGTGGTACCCAGGAAGTGGAAGAAATGAAGCTGAGTTATGCATCCCAAGAAGGAAATTGCATTGCTTGTAGAAAGGAAGTTCTCCAGCATCTTTGGCACAGTCACAGTGGAGTAGCAGATATCTAGACACGCCAGGTTTCCCAGGAAGAAGTACATAGGTGAGTGGAGTCTCGGATCTGAGATGACGATCATCAGGATGGCTCCATTCCCAGTTATGCTGACAAGATAGATGGTGATAAAAACAGCAAAAAGAAGAGGCTGTGGTTCTTGTATGTCTGTCACTCCCAGGAGGAAAAATTCAGTGACTGAGGTTTGATTCCACATCACTTAAAAGAAAAGACATAATTTGTGGAACTCAGCCTCAAATGAGACCACTCAATCTTCTCAGATAGAAGTTTCTTGCTAAGAAAAAAGGAATATTTAGACCAGCATTGCTGTTTTACATAATCCAGTCTCAGATCCTGTATAATATTGGGGTATTTTGATCTTGAACTAACATCTGTGTTAGTTCCATTTAACCATTTTAACAAATTAGGCCCATCATTAAAATGTTTATTCCCTTAGAGAGTCACAGCAAGTTATCCACATGCCATCTTCTCTGGCTATGAGCATCTGCATTCTGATATACTCTCTTCTATAAGTCAACTCTGTGGAGTGTTGCTTTTTAAAGGATCACTGTGCTTTGTCATCCTTTATCTAGTGAGATGCTCCTTCAAGATTTTTCAGAATAAGAGCTGAGGGTAAAATCATTTCATCACAAATTCCCTGCAGAATTGGAAAAGCCCTGAAACTGTAATTCCTTTGCTTTAGAATGTAAATGCTAAATATGTTATTTATTCATCTCTTCCTGATGAAAAGTCGTGGAACCCTATTTGATGGGGATGGGACAAGGAGGAATCAAAACCACATAATCAGGGTCAATCTGGGGTATTTTTGAAATCTTATCCATGGTTCTGTTAGATGACAGGTCAAATTCTTACTAAACTTTAATCCTTTACATTTTCTCAAACAGAAAATCAAATCACATATTTGATGAGAAAAGTTACTGTGCTTCTTTGTCTAGTTGTATTACAACTTTCTTTTCTGAGACCCCTAGATAAGAAAGTCCTGCTTTCTGGGTTGTAGGAAAGATGAGCCTCCTGGCTAGTATGATGAATCTGACTGGCAGTGGGGCCTAACAATGAAACTTGCAAAAGGAGAATTTTAGTTAAGGATCTCAGAGATTTAAACAAATGTCAGGAGGGTTAACAGAAACATTCTGTGTGAGAGAAATTGGAGAAATTGGGCTTTGGAGAAGGGTGTCCAGATTTAGCAGATAAAATACAAAATGCTCAGTGAATTTGAATGTCCAATAAATAATGAATTATATTTTTAGGACAAATATGCCCCTTCCAATATTTCAGATGTACTCTCATTAAAGATACTCAATACTTTCGGCATGCTTATTCTCAAATTATTCAGTAGTTGATATGTACTTGTCCAGTGAAATATTCATTGCTTACATGAAACTTAAGGTTAACTGGGTATCAGCATTTTCTGATTTATTCATCTCTTCCTGATCCTTCCCCAGAAAAGTCATGGAACCCTATTTGATGGGGATGGGACAAAACCACATAGCCAGGTCAATCTAAGGTATTTTTGAAATCTTATCTGCGGTACTGGTATGTTGGGAGCTATTATTATGGGCACAGCCATTGCTGCATCAGGCTGTGGCAGCTTGCCTTGACTTAAGCATTGGAGAAAGAATGCCTCTACCTTGGGAGTTTCCCTGCTCTCTGCTTCTGTGGTCTGAGTTGTCAGGCTGTGCTTCCCCGGTTAATTGGCAGTCTTGGAAACATAACCAAAGAGTTCTGTTTCAGTTTATGGGCACTGGAGTTTCTCAGCACTGATAGCTTGATTTCTACATAGAAATAATGAATTATAGTAGTTGCTAAGAGTAATCACAAAGAGTACACCTTATATCTAAGATAGTATAAATAGTATCTAGCTGAATCTTGGATACTGTCAACGTTGGGTGAGTTTCCGTTGGTGAAGTGATGTATTCTTGGTGGTAACATAATGTATCCTTGGTTATTCCTTAGCTACCTTCTGAGCACCATTAGCTTGGTTTCTATATAGAAATAATGAATTACAGTAGTTGCTAAGAGTAATCACAAAGAGTACACCTTATATCTAAGATATTATAAATATTATCTAGCTGAATCTTGGATACTGTAAATGTTGGGTGAGTTTCGGTTGGTGAAGTAATGTATTCTTGGTGGTAACATAATGTATCCTTGGTTATTCCTTGGTTACTCCAGATCTTATTCCTATATAAGCTTGCTTTAGTTCACTGGTACACAAGCCTCTGCATCTCCTGAGTCTTGATTTCTATCCGTTGGGGTCCCCAAGCCCTTCAGGCTTGGACTGTGGTCACTGTACCATGACACTGTTAGATGATGGGTCAGTGCTACATTGTAGCTGAAACATTAGACACAGGCATTCAGCTTGCCTTGCTCAGCTCTGTGAGGATAAGCAGTCCCATCATCACCTCTAAAAAGGAGACATATAGGGATGGAAAAGCTTTCTATGGCAATATTAGAGAAGTGAAATAAAGGCATTCTCTTTAGAAGCAAAAAGAAAGGAAATCCTGCTTTCAGTGCGATCATGTTTCTCCCTTATTTTACTGAAAACTAACAAGTATCTATGCCTTCAGTTTCTTGAAATTCTATTTTCTTTTATAAGAAGTAGGATTCTCTTATTTTAAGTCATTTTATTTTGCCAAAAACAAACCTACCCCTCAGCTGTCAAGGCTTATTCTACTTCGAGCTGAACTCCTTCTGAGGGTCACTGGCCATTATTTTGTGTTTTGCCCTTTAAGTCAGCCTGTCTGCATCATATCAGCGCTCTTCAAAGTTGCCACAGGTTGCCAACTTTCCTTGATTGTAAAATATGTTTTCTCTATTTCTTCTTTTCATAATTTAAAATTCTATTTTCTGTTAAGAAATGCATTCATCTCTATTTTGTATAATTAAGCTTTTTTATTCTGTAAATGTTTAAACATTTTAAGAATTTTAAATGAACTCATTATAATGAAACATGAGTTTGGACTAAATTTGTATTGTTTACTGAAACAACATTTTTTTTTTTTTTTGGTCTTTTTGAAGCAGGGTCTCCCTGTAACCCCAGCTGTCCTGGAACACACTATGTAGACCAGGCTGGCCTTGAACTCACAGAGATCCACCTGCCTCTGCCTCCTAAGTCCTGGAACTACAGGCCTGTGCCACCACACCCGGGTGAAACAACATTTTAAAAAATCTTTTCTCCTGCATTATTGGAAAGTGCCCAAAATTACCTCCTTTAGCCTCACTGACAAAGCAGATACAGCAATTGTGTGCTGTCTTTCTTTTTGTTCTTCTTCATTAAATACATACTGTGGATTACTTTTGCATTTTAGGAAAGACAAACTAGGCTGTGTGGGAAATGTAACATGGGAAACCCTGACAGAGAGGAAAAGCTGCAAGGAGAGAGGCTCACATTGAGCGTTTCCTACATAGGGAACGACTGGCGGTCTGGGCAATCATGGAGAGAGGAACTGATTTGGTCTGACTGGAGTGAAAGGGGAGCGAGCTAAGGAAACTTTTAGAGAGCCCATGAGCCTTTGTGTAAAAAATCCATTGGGGGGAAAAATAAGACCCAAGAAACAGTAAACCAAACAAACTTATTTTTCCCAAGTTTTAGAGAACATTGGTGGTCACACTTCTCTCTGTGAGATGGTTTCTTTTACTGACATTTCAATATTTAGGAATTACAGATCTGCCTCAGGTTACACCTAAAGATCCAGGTGTGCTGAATTGAGAATGAGACGTGATGATAAAAATGTGGGAAGAAAAGTGCCTTCATGACCCACAGTAGGAGTCCATCTGAAGATAGGAAACCAGCCCTAAATCCTGAGCAGTTCACTGAAATAACAGCAAGTGACAGATCACAGCACAGAAAATCCAGGCAACTTCCCAGCCTGATTTCTGATTTCATTCTCTTACCTGACTGGACAGGTATGAAGCAGGTTCAGGTGTAGACTTCTAATGATTACAAATAATAGAAAAGTATTTGAGGTGACCGGTAATGTTGGTTGGGATCACAGGATAAATTCCTTGTCTTCTCAAAAATCTTCCTCACCTTCTGAAAATTTGCTGTCCTTTAAATGACTCATGAGTCTCAACAAAAATCCTGAGAGAGTTCATCCCATGGCGCTGAGAAGAATGTTCTAAGAACAAGTAGGAGCTGCCTTATGAGATCCCTATTGTTTTATTTGTTTTGTGTTGTCTAATTATGTTTGAGCCTTAATGGTCCCCATGGCCTAATGGATTTTCCTAGTCAAACTTCCCTTCCTTTCCTCAAATAGATGTGGGAATTCACTTTCTGTCCTTGAGGGCCCCCTTGGAAAATGTTCTGGAATTTAAGGTGGAAAGAAAACTGGAGATGAAAACAAAGCAATAGTTCATGTCCCCCTGACAGAACAGAAAGGCCATTCTTTTCATAGTCTTCTCATTTAAACCTATGGCTTCATGAGCAAGCAGGGGAGGGTGGTAAAGAGAAGCAGTTTGCTTTTGTTTCTTTTAAGTCTCCGTTAGTAACAACACTGAATTATCTTCTCTAATTTTGGAATCCCAGCGCTCACCTGCTTCTCTATAATGTACATCCTCACTGCTCTTTTATTTAAGAAATATTTTATTTGTTATTACAAAGATAAATACATGTGATCTGCAATATATGGAAGAATTCTAAGAACATATATTGTCCATCTTTATTGTTTCATTCTTGTTCCTGTGGATGTCATTATATATTCACCACATTAACCAGACCTTGTTATTTTATAAGCTGAAAACATAATACGAATAAACAGCATTCAGTACATGCTTCATATTTACTATTGTTCTGAACTCCTAATGTGAGTTTACTTATCTAATTCTCAGAAACTCCCAGTGAAAGAAATATCAAAATTATTTTCATGTTACCACAATAAAACAGGGTTGTTAAAGGGTTTTAGTAAGTTTCCAATAATCGTATTGTGAATTGTGAAGCTAGGACTGAGGCTGAGGCTCTGAGTTCTAGAAACCATTGAGGTGGGATCTTCCTTCTTCCAGAATGTTACCATCTGAAGTCTGTTCTGTTTTCACCTGTGCTGAGTACAACCACTTTTCTGGTCCTGTTTGTGAGGTTTAGAGTTTCTCACTTTTCTTTAGTCTTTTAGAGGTCAAGTTTACATTGCTGTTAGATAATCAGCAAGAGTCCCAGGCATTACTGGGAATGTAGATGAGCGATGGAGTGCTCAACGAGCAAGCATCAGGCATGGGGTCTGACC